GCGTGACTGAGTAATGAAAAAACTGTATTATGAATGTACGGCGTTTCGACAAGATTATGTCATCCTCAGGTACCTGTTACTCTGTTGACTTGTTAGTTTAAATGATATCCACACAGTACTACACCGACAATAATATAGTTTGTTATCAAGAAACTGTTACTCTATTGGCTAGTTAGTTTAAATGTTATCAACATAGTACTATACGTCGGACAGAACTGTAGTTTGTTGCAGAGCTATCGTTATGCTGTTGCTTCTGTTGTCAGCTTAAATATTATTAACACAGTACTACGTCGACAGTAATATAGTTTGTGATCAAGCAACTGTTATTCTATAAACGTATTGAGGTGGCGTGACTGAGTAATGAAAAAACTGTATTATGAATGTACGGCGTTTCGACAAGATTATGTCATCCTCAGGTACCTGTTACTCTGTTGACTTGTTAGTTTAAATGATATCCACACAGTACTACACCGACAATAATATAGTTTGTTATCAAGAAACTGTTACTCTATTGGCTAGTTAGTTTAAATGTTATCAACACATAGTAATAATATTATAATAATCATAATAATATTATAAGAATCCTTATTACTGTGAACGAACAACAACTGCTTATATTACAATAATAGTAATCCACTCTTACACTGTATTGTAAACGCAATTAGAAATTATGATTCCAATTTATTTTCTGTATTGTTTAGCGGTCGTAATACACCTTCAATAATAGTAATCCACTCTTACACTGTATTGTAAACGCAATTAGAAATTATGATTCCAATTTATTTTCTGTATTGTTTAGCGGTCGTAATACACCTTCAATAATAGTAATCCACTCTTACACTGTATTGTAAACGCAATTAGAAATTATGATTCCAATTTATTTTCTGTATTGTTTAGCGGTCGTAATACACCTTCAAACTGTCATCGCAATCAGAAATTATTATCCCAGTTCATCCTCTGAATACAAAACCTTTATTACAACATTAACTTAACGTTGCTATTTTCTTATAGCTAAGATCAAGATATGAAATGGAATTATCAATTGTATTTATGGCAAAGTTACAGTAACTGTCTTACTATTTTGTATTTATGGCAAAGCTACTTTAACTGTCTTACACCGTTCTTAATTTTGAACTACTGACAAGCGAGCAGACAGCCAGTCATCAGCAAGCACCCCCTACCACCCGCTAAGGGATTGACTGCCACTCTTATAACGTACCATAGCTTGAAATGCGAGGAAAATGTTGTGGTATTGCACGTATTGAAACGGGGCTCTACAGCTCTGAATGTAATCTTCTGTGCAACACCCAGAGAGGTTTTATACACTGCCCTCTATCATTGTGTTTACAATACATCGTTAATTAGAGAACAGAAAATAACTGCGTGATCAGTGTTTAAAGTTAAAATATTTCCAATTCTTATAAATCGCATTGCTTGTTCGAGAATAATTCGGTCAGTCATGTTTTCTAGGAACATACGACAGGGTATGTGCAACAGGAATGACTGTATACGTTTTCGTTAAAGTAATCGAACGGTCTATACCATTTTCTGCGGCCACGAGCGTGTCTCGGCGATTGAACTAACGAGATAGGGACGAAGCAGGGCACACAAGAGTATAGCCGTGTTTTGTAGCGCGGGACTTCATCAACTCGTGTTCTCATTCAGTTTACATAATAGACTCACTGGTGGCAAATTGACCCGCCAAAAGCTGCAATTTTTCTACGTCGCGTGGCGCGTGCTTGTGAAGTATTGCATATTAAGAGGACGCTCGTGTGTTAAGCAGATTATGCGACTGCACGTGCCATCTGTCACACCCAAAGTTTCACGTTCTATTTCGTTGATACACAGTTAACAGTTTGTTTTTAGTTTAGAAACTATGACCAAGTTTTGTGAAAAATTTTTGAAAAAAAAAAAAGAGTCATATCTCAGAGCATGAAACTCTTGTAGGTGTTCACGGTTGGGACAGCGGTAAGTCTAAGGACTTACAATGCTAAAATCCGGAGTTCAATTCCACACGGTGGACACAGCAGATAGCATAATGTGGCCTTGTTCTAAAGATAAAGATGGTTAACGGGACTGAGTCAATTTTTTTTTTTTTCTATTTAGTACAATATTAATAGAAATTTAAAATCGAATGATAGTCAATAAGCTAGAAAAACAAATTGATTTGATGCTGTTAAACACAACACACATACACACAAAAGAATTGTGAAAAGACACTACATTATATCAAGAGCAAATCTGTTGTATATATATATATAGCACGTGGTTTTTATCGTCAAACAAAATACTATTATTTACATATTGTATTCAAGCTACAGCCGCAGCGGACTCACAGTTGCTATCGTTACCATAATCTTTCAACCTAGGGGTCTCCAGCCTTCATTAAGCCTAACAATACCACGGTAGGCTGGAACTCGGTGTACCAACATCACGGTAGATTACATCAACAACACATTCGACAAATGTGCTCTCTTCAGGGGTCGATTTCACGGCTGAATGGACGATTCACGTGCATCATTTCATTTCGTAACACGAGGTCCGACATACAAGGCTGCGCGTGGATAGATACGCCAAGATACAGACCTAATAGTGATCTGAGAGAAACTGTTTTTCATCTAACTTCAAGAAAACATTTCAAAACTTAATCATGCAGGTTTTGGTTTTGTTTTCTGCTTTACGGAACACAACAGAATATTTTTCGTAACTTTAATCAACTGTATACATCTCGTTGTACACGTCATTTTGTCTCTGAAGGGATAAAATGAGTTAGACTTTGGCAATCAGTTAAATCATAAAATCTCTGTTACTACCCCCCCCCCGATGACATCTCGCTTGTTTGTAATAGAGCAAAGCCACATTGCGCTGTGTCTACCGCGGGGAATCGAACCTCAGACTTTAGCATTGTAGGTCCGTAAATTTACTGCTGTTCCACCTAAACATAATTAAACGTATTTGAAAAAAGCTATCCAGTTTAGTGGGGGTTAATAAAAATATGAAATGGAATATAAATATATTTTCATTGTATTTCTAAGAAATAGCCCAAGCTTATGACGCTAAAAATGAGGTTTCGATACCCATGGTGGGCAGAGCACAGCTAGCCCATTCTGTAGCTTTGTGCTTAATAATAACAAAATGAACCTAAAAATAATTCAGTTTATTTTACGGATCAATTCTATTTTCCTAATTCGTTGTCTTGTGAACATTTTAATCACAGGTCGGTCTGATGTATAAGAGTCACAAGGGAGAGTCAGTCAGCTTCAAGATACAAGTCAAAACAAAGAAACTAAGTGGATAAAAACCAAGCACCTAAACAACAAATACGTAAGTCCAAACATGAGTAATGATAGATGGTTTAAACTGTGATTCTTTGAGAGACCTAAATCTTGACCCTTTGACAGGCCTAAGCCTTGGCCCTTTGGCAGAACTAAATCATAACCCTTTGACCGACCTAAAATCTTGGCCTTTGACAAACTTAAATCTTGGTCTTTTGACAGACTTAAACCTTTTGACAAACCCGAAGCTTATTATTTTGAAAGACATAAATCATGGCCCTTTGATAGACTTAAAAATTGTAATCCTTAAAATGCATTATAATATTAACTTATACAATCAATATATTTAACAGTTTAAAGCTTTTTCTATGCTCACGTTTAAAATTTCTGATGAAAGATACACCGGAAGTGACGTAAGAATTTGCAATGTTCTGGACAAGAAGTGTGTCATACTAATGTGAAAGATGGTGAAAAAAATCTATCAAATAAATATATGTATATGGATAATTAAAAGAATCTATAAATATTTAGGTACGTGAATAAATATGAATCACGTAATTGATATCTAATTTGATTTATCATGTGTTATTTTCAACTTTACCTTGTTTCATTCCTACTGAAATTAACGCTATAGTAAGTAGAGAAATTTATTTAAATAATTTTGAAAATGCACAGCTGATACACAAACAGGATTCATAAACAATGAGTAATTGCAACTGAATAGTTAACGTATTGGTACAATACATAAGTATAGAAAATACAAAAAAGCGAATAAGTTGTACAATGAATTAGTTTGCTTTAAATACACCAGTATACATTATTTTTATACTGAAAAGGACGTGTTACTGTGAAATATCTGTGTACATACCAGCAGTCAAGCTGCCATCCATTTTGAGTACATCATCTCCAGCATCGTTTGTATGTTGAGAACAATATTGCTCCCTCTATCTGCTATCGAACAAACTATTGTCGATTATTTTCAAACAATTCCAATTTATAGTCATTGTTAAAGAACACTCTCTTTCAGATTCCCCATCCAACTGTTCGAAGTCTGGCGCCAACTTTACTTTTTTAGTTTGATTATCTTTCTTACTTTTAAGCAGTGTATATTTTTTGTTTCTTCTTCAGGAGGTACACATAAATTGAGGTCATTTTGTGCTAAGTACATCGTACATTTCTGGAGTTCACATTCACACTTGCACTAAGTACATCTTACTTTTCTGGAGTTATCATTCACACTTGTACTAAGTACATCTTACATTTCTGGAGTTAACATTCACACTTGTACTAAGTACATCCTTTTCTGGAGTTAACATCCACACTTGTACTAAGTACATCGTACATTTCTGGAGTTAACATTCACACTTGTACCAAGTACATCGTACATTTCTGGAGTTAACATTCACACTTGTACTAAGTACATCTTACATTTCTGGAGTTAACATCCACACTTGTACTAAGTACATCTTACTTTTCTGGAGTTAACATTCACACTTGTACTTATTGGCAAGATCTCTACTGTTTTACACAAATATTGTTATCTAACATTCTTAATATACTTTCGAAAACTTTGGACTTTCTACCAGTAAACAATATTAGTTTCACATAAAACTCTTCAAAGTTTCCATATAGCCTATTAAAGGGGAGACATGATGGCTGAAATAAAAAGGTGTTTTATTATTATCTGGAGAGTTGGACTTTCTACCAGTAAACAATATTAGTTTCACATAAACTCTTCAAAGTTTCCATATAGCCTATTCTCAGACAAGAAGTGTTTTTTTATCTAAACATCTATATACACATATTTAAATTTTAAAATAAAAGATATAAAATTCGATTACGCGTTGAAGGTACTTCGTGTTTTTTGTTGTTTTTTTCTCCTTTTCGATGTGTGAAATTCGTTGAAACACTACTTCCCCCGTTGTTTAGCGTTAAGCTTCAAGTCTTAAATCGCTAAAAGTGTGGGTTCCATTCCCGCTTCAGACATTCTTCACATAGTCCATTATTTAGCTTTGAGCTAAGACCAACAAACCTGATGGCATTTCTGTCTGATGTGATTTTTCAATTATTTGCTGTTCCCTTCTGCTTACTTTACCAACAGTCTTGACAAGATATTTTTCCTGACATAATGAGCAGAAGTACTTACGGTATTGGAAATAATTATAGAAATAGTGAATATAAAGGGTATAAAATGCAAACATTATAGGATTTCTCCCCTATGAAAATAAAATGCACCGAGTAAAGTCACGTGCTGACATCTTCTATTGTGACTGAATGTCATCATTTTGGCAATAAAGTTTGAAAAAAACGACCTTTACTCTCCCGATAATAATAAAACAGCTTTTTATTTCAGCCATCGTGTCGCCTCATACTGGTGTTATATCCGTAAGAGTATCAAGCCTCTATATTGGAGAACCAATCGTTACTGTGGCACCGCCGGCGGAACCGCGATTGGTTCCCGTTAGTCGAGTCTCAACGCAATACTTGTCAAGATTACCCTATTTTTAATGTAGTCTCTGACTTTATTTATCTGAGTTTTGGTTGGATCATCGTGCTTAACTATAAAATATATTTCGCATGATGTCAAAAACTCAAAATATAGGTAATATTTTCTTATCTTGTACTTTGGCACTTGTGTAAAAGTTTTAACATGAATAAATAACACGGACAACGTTTGAATTTACATAATGTAGAACATTTTTACTGAAAGCGATCCACAGTCCTCACTGAAAACACTATATGTTTCAACGGTTTCCCGTCCTCGTCATTTGTAATAGAAATCACACTTCCGAAAACGATTAGAAACCGTTGAAACATGTAGAGATTTAATTGTGTAAAGTTAATCATTGTGAATTATTTAGTGATTTTGAAGTTCGTTTTCTTTGTTAGTTTCAGAATTATCGCTCAAGGCTACATAGGGACTATCTGCGTTAGCCGTCCCTAATTTGAGCTGATGGACTAGCCGGAATACATTTAGTCAATAAGACCACCGGATAAGTCATTGGCTACTCTTGTCTGACCGAGTAGAAGAATTTGACCGTTACTCTTATACGGTACACATGGTCCCTAAGCGCAGAACGTGATTTTACGGCAACGGGCTGCGAGCGATAAACCCTTCTGTTCACAGAGCACAACGTTAGTCACTGGGTCACGCCCGATTCCTATACGTAAAGTATTATATTTCAAAACGAAACAATACCCCACAATGACTTCGTAACAATGCTATTTGACATTTTTATCAAACTGGATAACCACCGATTGATCTTTATTCGTTTATATTGTTGAGAGTAAGTTGTAGCTAGCTCCAACATCACGTCGTTCTGACAGAGTTTAGGAGAGAAGGGATGATACCTCGTTCTGACAGGGTTTAGGAGAGACGGGATGAAGTGAAAGATGTGTTTTAGATCCTGAGGGGATAACAATAAAGTCTGAAAGATTCCGATGTAAGTTGATCAAATTAGATTAGGCTTAGATAAACACACGGAAGTTAATGATATCAACAAAACTAAATTTTAAGATCCTACAAAACTTTAAAAACTCCTTAACGAGTTGTTTAGTTTCACACTATCAAGGAAAACTGAAACTACTGACTTTATGTTTGTTCAGTTCTGATCGTCTTGGCATTTTGAATAAAAACTGACGGTGTTAAAATTTGGCTAAAAATTCTGTTAAGCGTAAAGCTGCACTGTGCGCGATCTTTACTATGCCAACCACAGGGCTCGTACCCTGGATCTTAGTGCTATAAGCCTTTAAGCTTACCGTTTAGCCACAATGGATGGGTCCTGGTTAGTAATTTTTATTTTAACCGTTTTTTTCTTAATTTTGATTTGATTGTTAATATTTTTGTTTCAATATCTCCGAAATTTCTGAATTCTGCTGAACAGACTGCCAAAGCTGGTGTTAATCATAATCAGGGGTAATACAATACTTCAAATACGATAACCTTAGAAACGTTGGGTGGAAGATCGACATTCATCTGGGAAGGTTCAACGAATTTCATCCTCCCAAATATTGATTCCTTCCGCTAGCGGAGGTCTTCATCACCTCAATGGATTCAGTTTCAGGCAAATATTGTATTGTTTTAATATTTAATTTCAAATTATTGAATTACCAATTCACATTAATAGGGCCACAATACAAAATAGCAAAAGCATTACTGTCATGTGGACTGAACAGAAATTAAGACAATATTTCCACAATGAGCGGTTGTGGAAGACCAACTGTTCAGGAGACAGGACTTTTAATAGGACGGCTTGGTGGAAGACCAACAGTTCAGAAGACAGTGCTTTTAATAGGACGGCTTGGTGGAAGACCAATCGTTCAGGAGACAGTACTTTTAATAAGACGGCTTGGTGGTAAACCAACCATTCAGGAGACAGTACTTTTAATAGGCCGGTTTGGAGGAAAACCAACTGGTCAGGAGACAGTACTTCCACAAGGGCGGGTTAGTGGAAAACCAACTGGTCAGGAGACAGTACTTCCACAAGGGCGGGTTAGTGGAAAACCAACTGGTCAGGAGACAGTACTTCCACAAGGGTAGGTTAGTGGAATTCAACTGGTCAGGAGACAAATACTACTAGTGGAAGACCAACTGGTCAGTAGACAAATACGACTAGTGGAAGACCAACTGATCAGGAGACAAATACGACTAGTGGAAGACCAACCAGTTGCTTGGTCACAAGAAGAAGAATCGTTTAAAAAAATCATATACTTAAAATAATGACTTACACTTCGTTTTTAAGCTATATTTTTATTTGACCATGAATACAGCACTTGTACTATAGCTACCTGTCACAGGTTTAAACTCAGCGACTCATCCATATAGTAACCACGGAGTTATGTGGCACTTGTACTATAGCTACCTGTCACAGGTTTAAACTCAGCGACTCATCCATATAGTAACCACGGAGTTATGTGGCACTTCTACTATAGCTACCTGTCACAG